TTTACTTCTGATTTAGTCGCCTCGTTATCTTATTGCTGCTATTTGTAATCAATCAGCCATTGTGCCATTCCGAAATCGGCGTGTTATCAGTGAAGTCTATGGGCGGTTTCCTAGAGGTATTCTCCTCAATTCACCTCGACCGTTTATCAACTATCTCTACTGTATCAACGAGTTTCTGACTACCGTTAAATACCTGTCATCTTGTGCTCATCGGTTAAGTTGTGCCTCCTCACGGTTCCAATGTTTGGGGTGTTGTGTTGTTTTAACGCAGTGCCGCTTTAATAAAGCGCGGAGTACGTGTATCTTTGGAATTGTATCCGCCGCAATCTTATTGTGTGATAAGAACAGATTCCATCATGCCAATTGAGTGGTCGAATGCGCAACAAACGATTGGTGAGGGAACATCATTGGTAATTCATAATTCCATCTATCACCACTATTGAGTATCCACCTTGGTATTCTAAATACGTCACGATAACCGTGAATGCGTCTAGGATGTACGATGGTACGTGATGATATCGTCCATGCTTCGGAATCTTCACGAGCGACCACTCGTTTAGAACTCAATGCTCGTTATGGTAGAACGGTATACATGTTCGTCAACTTCAGCCAAGCTAGGTTAGAGATGCTACTATTGTTTTGCTACTGAGCTTGACATAATCAAGCCGCCCGAAGGAGTTATGAGTCGAAACTATTCTATAGTCAGCTGCTCACTATGGTGAGAATAGGACTATACCAGCATTAATACTCAAGGATTTGATCCTTCAATTCAGTATACTCTAATTCATTCAAAGATTGCTTCAGATGGTGATGCATGACAAGGATTTTATCATCAAATGACCCACTACATATAGTAGTGGTCAGGGCAAGGATGATACCGTTTATCATCATAAGCAACAACATTAAGAGTAATTCAGACCTTAGAAATTATCCTCAATAGACTTCAGATGCATGTCTAAGTATAATTGAGAGTGTCATCATTATCACTGAATAAGTCGGCAACGTCATAAGCTACGACGTGATCGATTAGCTAAGCGTTTGCGAAACTGACAGTAAAAGCGGAGCGATGCGCCTCAAGATACCATTTTATCTGACTAGCCTCACCTTAAGCTTGCACTTGTCGAGGCATGTGTAACTGAAGTCATATCATGGTGGGTAGGTATTATCCTAGAAGTAAACATTGCTTAGTTATCGTCTTCGTAATACTATATGTCGTCGTCCTCCTCCTCCTCTACTACTACTGCTCCTTCCGTGGAATTACCTCGTACCAAGCTTCATGCATCCCTTCATCACCCTGCATGCCGGGAATGGCTCGAGCCCCATATTCATCCATCTCAGCTCATATGGCCTGTTTTCGTCACATTGAGGGTTGAAGATAAGGAGATACCAGGTTTTAGGTAATGCATTTGGATTCTGCATGTCGCTCATTATCGACCGTAGTGAAGTATTAGTGATATTTACAGTGATGTATAATGGTTTTAGTAGTAGCGGAGATTCTAGTAATAGTATTTGTCTTCAGTCCTAACATGCAGTATGGTCGTGGTGCTGATGGTAGCTACCCTGGCCTTATTGATGAGCTCAGAGTGCTAGAGAAGAAGGGTTTGAGACATGTCATGTAATATACAAACAACCCAACACCCTGCTACGCAATGTTTCTATAGGCTCTTTGGCGTGGTAGAGGATAAGGATCCTCGGGCCAGTATGGCTGATGCTGATACATGCCCAGTTGTGGAGTGCATTAAAGTCATCAAGTAGTGTTTCCTCTACAAGCATGGTTGCCCGGTGGTATCTCTTGTTAGGTCACATCGTGAGCTATCGAGTATGTGTGTCCTTGCTGATGTATGCATGTGTGAATATACTTCCCATGGACACTGTGGTATCCTCAGGACAGTGAATGGAGAGGAATGTAATACAGCAGTCATCAGCTCTTTATCTTCATGCCATCACATAGGTATCGACAATAAGCGAACGGTTTGCCGTCTTGCGGACATTGCCTTGAAGTATGCCGTGGCTGGTGCTGATATTGTGTGCCCATCGGATATGATGGATTCCCGTGAGGCGACAATTCGAGATAGCCTCGATTCCCATGGCTACGAGCATGTGCAGATCATGTCGTATACCAGTAAGAAGGCCAGTGTCATGTAAGTGCGAGTTCACCCGGTGTTCCTCTTGGTACAGTCGTTTGGCAGGTACGCTCCTTTCCGGGACGCCGTTGACTCGACCTTCAAGGGTGACCGTAAACGCTATCAGCATCCAGTAGGATCGTCCTCTATCGCAATGCGAGCCCTTGACCGAGACTTGACCGAGGGTAGTATAATACGTTCTAGACCATCGAGTAATTGTGATGATAATGATGATCAGGTGCTGATTTGGCTATCGTCAAACCATGCCTGTTTTATGGGGACATCATTCGTCAGTTTAAGGAGTCCTGCAACATACCTATTGTTGCTTATGTAGTCAGTGGAGAGTAAGACCTTCACTCAAACCTCTGCTTTTCCGAGTGTGCTGAATTGTAGGTATAAGATGCTTTACGACTACGGTCAGGCTACGGGTGATATGAATGCGGTTGTGCGGGAGGCCCATATTTCTCTGGTCCGAGCTGGCGCTACTGTAAGTTTAGCCGACACTGCTTTCTCGTTAACATTCATATTTCTAGGTATTGATCACTTACTTTGCGCCCTTCATTTTGGATAACCTCAACCGATGGTGATCATCTCTGAAGAGATTAAGAAGCACATCGACGTCATAATACGGCAAGAGTCTTGCTGTTAGGCGTATATATAAGCATTGCTTCCTATGCCGTCTGAGACGCTCATATGCTTGCTACTTACTGTCACATACAAGTTTCTACGA